TCAGTCGCTCAGTTCATGGTTTCCTTCTCGCAGCTTCTGGGTGCAAACGCAGAACGATGCCTTTTCCGATTCCGATGCTTATCATTATGTTTGCGCTTGGCCAGTGTGGTAACTAATCAGAGTGACTGTTCATCGGCATTATCAACAAAATCAGCTAGCTGCGAGTGATGATAAGAATAGCATAGAATAGTGCAAAAGTCGCCACTCCACGATACCCTGCCTCGATCTGGGCGTTGTCGGATACTTTTGACGGCGGACAGCAGCTGGTGTTAATGCATTGATGCGACTGTTTGGTTCGTTCTCGAACCCGGTTTTAGGCGTTGTTTCAGCGTGCTTTTCACTATGGCCTCGCTATGCATGGGCGAGAATTGCGTCTTGACGCTGCTGGGAAAGAATAGGAAGCCGCGGACATTTTTTCAATTTCGAGAATAAATGTGCCTTTGTTTTGCTAGCTCAGATCAGCTATATTTTTTAGATTTCATCACAACAATTTTCGCTTCAACAAAATTTTTTCTGCGCCCCGTCAGTTTCGTTGTAGCGGGGTTCGACTGTATTCGCCTCGAACTTAAAATTCACTATTCGCACAAGCGTACACACGAAGACCAAATTTGGAGCAGCATGAAAACGAGAGCTTGCATTTAGAAAAAAGTACCATATTTACGCGCATAATTTGCGCGCTTTGTTTCCTGATTTCGGGGCTCCGAGAAGGGGGTGCGCAAATTACGCGGGAATTTCGCCAGCGCATGCGAAATATTGTGCCATAGTCTTAACGCGTGCAGTATATACATTAAAAAAAAGAAATAAATTGGAGCACAAATGAGGTATACTTCAATTTTGAAAGAATTAGCGCGTACTTTACCCTGTCAGATCCTGTCACACGCGGTCTAGCGGCAATCAATGATCGCGAGGTCTGATTGGGAATCATTGTATTTTCTTGAAGCTCTTTCAACAATGCTTGGAGACACTAGGCCTCAGGACACAGAATTACTGGAAGAACTAAGCATCCGCACATATATTAAAGGGCCTCATTCAATGGCTGGAACTTGCATTAGAAGTGCACACTTTTCTGCTTACCGATCGCACCGGGCGTCAAGCTGAAGTACTATCAGGGTCAAATGAAACGCGAACAGCGGCAAGCCTTCGCGATGCTATAGTGCACGCCGTCCACTTGTCACTACGGACAGGCATGCATATATGCAGAAAGCTGCCAAACAGGATGCGCACGCCTGTGAATCATGATAACTGGACGGCCCCCACTACACTATCGCAAAGGCTTGCCGCTGTTCGGGTTTCATTTGATGCTGATAGTATGTCCCCTTAAAGTACTTTGCAGCGGCACGCTTCCCGGTTTGCTCGGCGAAATTCACAACAGCGAGCTTCAATTTCGTCGTATATCTAATTACTGCAGCACATCACAAGGGAACCATCAAAACGTGTCAGCCGAATGGCGAAACTTCCCAAATCGACCAAGCGTGGGTTGCAGCGCAACAGGCCCTCGCACGCCTTCTATTCAGAAAGGCGTTCGTGCCGTGACATGAGCGTTCATTCTCGCCATAATCGCGGTGGTAGAGATTGGGAGATACGGGGAGGCAAACGCTCGAACAGTTCCGGCGACCCGTCAACGGGTCCGTGTTCGGGTGTGGTATTCTAGGGACCCTAGTTCGGGGAAGTCCTCGGAAGCAGTGACTTCGCGCTGGCAGCCTGTTAGACTGCGTTAGTCTGCTCGGCGAAGCGCACACCCGGCCGAAGCATCGAAAGGTCCAAAGGTGCACACACCGGCAAGCTGACTCTGGCGAGTCGGGGAGCGCGAAATATGCGAGTAAGCAATTTTTTTTTCCGAAGAGCTGGCTAACTCTTACGGGTGTGCAAAATATGCAAGGGCGTAAATTATGCATGTAAATACGATATGTACAAGCCGTCCAACATCTCCTAAACCATGCAGCGTGAATATGAACACTTCTGCTTCATAAAAGTAGTATTTTGAACAAACCCACTGAGCAACCAATGATGTAGTCCACATTAGCATCTGCCATGCCTGTCAAATTCTTTGACAGACTCTGGGGATTCAAACGTGGATCTACCAAGCTGGCGACCTTGAGATTCGGCAAATTCATAAAACTGAGGGGTAGAGGTAGCGAAAACCGAAAATGTCGCATAGTTTTGATTTTTGAGGACAGCAGAAATGTCATACAGCGCTAACAAATGATTGCCATAACTTTTTTTTAAATGTCAGCGATCATATTAGCACTCACAGTCGTGCAGCATACATATGCATGAGTAACTGAATGAAGTGTGCTGTGTCCCTTGGCTAATGTTGACAGCCCATTCCAAATCTTGAAACGCTTTTCTGCAGGCCACCGGTGTACTGCGGTGAAGGTGGCTTAGGGCAGATGCTACTCTAAGGCATTTTTTTTTTTAATATTAACTCTAGAACAATGAAACTTGAGCTGTTTATGGAACTTAGTATGCTGATTGCAAATATATAATTACTTTTCTTGCAAGTTGCATACTTCCAGCTCTGCGACATGACAAAGTGAAAATATTAACCCTTTTGCCCTCCCTCTTTTCATCCCTAAACTTCCTTAATATTTTACCATTCATAGTTCATAATGTTTCAAAGAAAGTGTGGAATGTAATAGCTAATTAGAAAGCAAATATAAAATATGTTTTAGGCACCCAAATTAAGACGTAAAAATGTACATATTTCACCTGCCCTAGTAAAGGTTTACATACAATTTTTCATTATGTAATAAAATATTCAAATTTAAACTAGATAATTGTATTTGTCGTATCTTGGAAAAAATTTTTGCAAAATTTTATTCACATCCAAGCACTAGAAGGGCCTGAAAAAGGAGGGGCCCATTAAAAAAAATGGCAAAATTTGCGTTTTTAGACAAACGAGTTTTAAAGTTAAAATTAAGTTTTTATTTATGAAAGATGCCATTAAATGCAATGACATTTGCACACCAAAAAGAACAATCCTTCTTGTAGTGGCCGCTGCCACTAAAATACGCCAACACTGTGAGTTTGTCCCTCTTGGCTTTTTCGAGCCGACTCCTCACAGACATCTTGCTCACAGACTGGGCCATGAAACGCTTGCCAAACTTCTTCCGCTCCATCTGGCCGAGACTTGTGCTGACTGCAAGCAAGGAAGAAGTTCGACAGGACTGCAAAATCTAAACTAAGTCTGTGTCGAGAGACACAACAGTGCCAATGCCATTTTGCAGCCATGTTTGTGCCACATACCGTCGTACATAATGGCAATTTTATCCCTGCTAAGTTTCTTTGACCTTGCAAGATTGGCGCTGACGTCATCCATTGCCGCATCACGAACTTTCCGGCTGATGCCTGTGAATGGCTTTTGATGCATTGGCTTTTGCAAGCCAACTGCCGCAAATCGGACCAGCTGCTCACAGCCTATTCCTTCAGAGCGCATTGCCACAATGGCTTTCACGCGCGAGGAATGGCTTTTTTCATTTATAACAGAGATAAAATACACGAGAAAAGCATTGTTCAGCTGCGTTGCTCGTCAAGACTTGGACCCCGCAAGTAGGCTTCACAGCACATACAGTCGCGCAGCTGCCAATCGGGGTCCCCGATCTATACCACTTGATAAGCCAGTGACGGCGCTCAAAATACGCGCAAAAGCTTGCTTATTTTTATTATTAGTGCCGCATCGTGAGGGAAACTGTCGTTATTTGAATAGTGAGGCTCGACTCTTCGCCTCATGCAATCGACAGTGGCGAGCGGCGGCATATTATCATCGGCAAAGTGCTGGAAGACTGCCCCGTTTGTGCCTTTTAACTGGCACCTTGTGCTCTTTAGACGCAATTTTAAAGCATTTCCAGTTAAGTCTCGACGTGCTTTTTTTTTTTTTTTTTCAGAAAAGTAGAGGTACTAATCTCATCAGAAAACAGGCGAAAATAAAAAATCGGTCATTTTGAAGAAAAGTCAAGTTTTTCGACCTGCACCTTCTTTAAGCGGCATTCCGCACAGGTTGGAACAAGGCCAAGAAATTTTCAAACCGCTACACCCCCTCCCCCCCCCCCCCCCCTTTTTTTTCACATTGAGTTTAAAATTATGATAAAACATCTGGGCGCATGTTTCACCAAAGTAACAACGGCCCACGCCCGTTGGCCTCGCGACGGCGCAGAATATCTTTTGCGTGTGCCGTTGCTAGGGCAACTAACGTGGCCGCTGGCTATGTCCCGTTCGCAGCATGCAGAGTTTGATCGCGCGCAGTAACGGCGGCGCTTCCAGCTTTAGTTCCAAACGTGCCATAGCTGCGTTTGTTGACTAGGAAATTCATACTTCCAGCGAAAAATTACTGGCTACGGCAACACATTTTTGTCGCGAAGTTGTGTTGTCCCACCGATAGATATCTGCTGCGTTCAGTGGACCGATGGGCACGCACCGGTGTTATTTAATTTGCTCAATTGCGTTTCGTGATTGTCCTGGCTTAATGAGTATTTTACGCCATGATTTAGGGTTACGGTCAGTGCGCCTGGATCCCTTGATTGATTGATGACGCAAACTACAGGTGGCCAACATTGCCTCCATTTCTCACTGAAATGATCGCACTTCAGAAAATTTTGATGCCAGTCAGGCATTTTGGCACAGCGTGGCGTAATTTTGGCAAATTTTATGGTTTTGGCACAGCTTGACACAAATCTGGAATTGTATCAAATTGGCGCAGCTGTTGCACCCCTGGGCAGTAGCATTTCAGTCGAGGTGAAATGCTGGAGGATTGCGTAGATGCGGTGTCAGTGCAGATAGAAAACCCCAGACTGTGTCATTAAATCTCACCTGATAGACGAGGTGTTGCATACTCTTTTTTGCGACCAGCATGAAGTTTTCTTTGCTTGGCGCCATGGAGACTCCAACTTTGCCTCTTGCAACAGTCAGCGGCAGTGATTGCCAACGCATTGACGATGTTACAGTAGCCCAAGTACAACAAAATCTGCTCGTCCACAAGCAGAGCATGAAACAGATCATTGGGATTTTTTTTTTTTGCGGCTTTAATCCAAATAAACTTCATTTTCATGTCTTGACCACTTATTCAGATTGTTTGATTTTTTACTATTTCACGGTCCCCATCAAGTCTGGAAAAAAAAAATGGTCGGCAACTGTATAATGTTTTGTTATTGTAAAGTCAAATAAAAACAAATATAACTTTATATATTCTAACCCACAGTTTTTAATTGTGTGGAGCGACATTTAGTTGGTGGCTGTATTTAGTACTTAAATTTATTGGCTCTATCGCAGTCTTTTAAATCTTTTGTGTAAGGAATTAATGGTAAAATACAGTATGTTCTTTTCGTTATTGTCATGAACCTGGCAGTGATGTGAACTTGTGGTTCATTTGTACGTGTGGCTCGGCATTAGGTGGATGGAAGCTATAGCGCAACCTTATTTGTTCCAAAGTTGTTGCAAAAAACGAAAGTGCCACTCTCTCTCTACCTGTGAACTAAGTTAAATGTTGTTTGCTTGACTTGAAAAAAGTTATTTTCATGGCAGCGATGTTTTGAAAAAATACATTGTTAAACTCTAGTTAGACGCAACTTTAGAAGTTTGTGGCATTTTCTCCTCAAAGGTGGATGCACACAAGCATTCACCACTGGGCACGCACTCAAAGCTAACGTTATGAGTCATTCTCGTGCCTGACTAATCCCCCCTCTTAAGCACAGTGGCACAAACTTGTCCATAGACAACATGGCGTACCATTGAGCTCGTTGATAAGTCCTTTGTTGTATGAAACAACACCTTGGTCCTGCAGTGATCAGTTTCGGCCGCGCAGTCCACATTTTTATTTTTACTGTGTTGCCCTCTGTCATTTTGTAGCCCTCGAGACTGCAGGGAGAAGTGGTATTGCCAAAACAAGACTCTGAGGCAAAGAGGTGCCTTGCTACATCACCGTAAGCTAGAGGAAGGGTTGGCTGTGTGCCATCATGTATCGCTGACATTGTGTCACTTTGCCAAAGTGGGCAGAGTCATGACGACTGGCTATGCCTGCCCCTTTCTAGGATAAAGAAAGGCGGTGAGGCAGAGTGAAAATTTGAGACCAGCTGAAACGGATGTTCGAGCCCTTGTAACTTAGAGGTGCATAGGAATGTATGGCTTCTGACCAGAACTTTTGGTCAGGATTATAGTAATTAAAAAGTGAATAAACCGAAATCCAAGTTCACAAAAGTATCTGACATCAACATTCAGTAACTGCTGGTTTTGTGTTCTGCTTTTTTAGAAAAGGAAGCCAGCCAGCAAGCAGAAAGTAGAGATGGGTACTCAAAGTGCCACCGATGTCGATTACGACTGGCTGCCGAAGGATATAAGTAAGTACATTCAAGTCTTTTTTTTTTAATGATTATAAATTTATGTAAGGAAATTAGAATCTATGGTTATTTGTGAGCCCGCAGCTTACAGAGCGATCACAAGCAAGCGTGTGGACAGTAGCGGCTGCAGTAGCTATGCAGCCCACAATGCTGTCGATTACCATAGACTTTTGCTTTATGGTCACGTGTGTGAAAAAAAGTGCAAGCCATGAGTAACTGAATTTGAGGATAATTTTAAAGTCCGGGCCGCATGCTGCACGATAATGTTGTGCTCGCGTGTTCTAGGAACCTTTACTACCAATAAGCCTTTTTCAAGCACAGAAGCGCCCCTAACGAACGCACGCTCATGAGAGAATGTACGCTGAAGCAGCTGCCGTGACGAGCGTGCAGGCCTCGCACTTTAGCTTCCTGCTTGCGCTGTGCCTGTGCACCTGTCAGATAACGTGGATTTGGCAAGGTGCAACTTATCAGTCACAAACCTCAGTGTTTAGCTGTGACGACTTCTCTGCAATTTCCTTATCTGTCCCACTGTTGTAGCAGCTTAGTGGCTGTCACTTAATTTTTCACCACTACATCTTGCAGCATAAATGTATTTATATCATATTTACCTGCGTAATGAACCCACTCGCATAATGAACCAACCCCCCCCCCCCCCCCCCTTGGCCTTGAAAAAGAAACAAAAAAAACTTTTGTAATGTATCTGTTCATTTTATTGCAGTATTATAGCCAGTGCAATTGACAATCAAAACAACGTTAAGTCAAGCCATTATATTGACGCAATAACAACACAATAAATATCAAAACGATGTTTTGCAACCATGCTAAACAGTTGCGAGCAGCGCGAGGGCGGACAACGTCAATCAAAATTTGAAAGTCACACCATTTACGATAAAGCGCCATCTGTTGAATGCAGGAGCAAACTCTCTGCTGAGACCACCGCGAAAGTACAGCGGCACAAAAACAAAGCGTGTGGCCTTCAAACTGGCGTGCTTGCGGCGTAGAAACACGCCGCGCTCTTGCCATCTCAAAGGCCATGCAAAGCGCAACAGCACCCACCGCGTTAATGCACCCGGAGCATTATTGAGCCATCATCAGGTGCTGCGTTTTATTGCGATAGCAATTATATGGACCATCGGCATCACTCATCATATGTATATATATATATATATATATATATAAACTCAAGAAAGGAAAAAAGCCGCCCGCGCTTATCTCCCGTGCGTACTTTACCCCACGGATGAGGGTTTTTAGGTGCTTATGTGCGCATGCTTATCCTTTGGTGGAAATAATGGCACGCCTTCGGCGTTGACCAGAGTGATTGCGTTAGTACAATAGTACATATAGACTACATGTATCAACGCGCGATAACTTGCATGTCGCTGAACTGCTCCATACGACATACATGTTCTCACTAATACCTACGCGAATTCACTACATTACACATTTTACGTGTCATGTGTAGGGATACATGCAGAGGCGATCGGGCATGTGTAGTATTCAGGATTTATGAACAGTCAATCAGCGGCGACGCGTTCTTTGTGTTTTTTACTCCATGGTGCAGTGAGCATTGAAACGCCGACCAGTCGACTCGCTCAGCGTACACACTTTTTTTTATAGTGATCCATGAGTCCGTGAGGCATTCCAGGATTGCTTGAAAAAGGTCCATTTGCAGCGTTTTCTGGCTCATCTCAAAAGTTTGATTGAGTCCCCTTAAAGCCAGGAAAGCTATATTGCAATAAAAATGAACTGTCTGGAGAGTAAATTTTGCACTGTAAAAATGCATACTGTAACTGTCTCATTCTCTTTTTTTTTTTCTGTTATAAACAGCATAATGCCACGTAAGTATTTCCTTTGCACCCACAAATATTTAGTGGGCGTTATATTCAAATAAACAAGGTGCGTTTTTTTCGAGCAGTCTTCTTTGTGCTGCAGTGGCGTGTTGAAAGTACCGAGCTGCTTGTTCTGCATGTGATATTCCAATTTCTTGCTGTCGCATTCATTGCTTTGCCCAAGTGACGAAACTGTGGATTTTTTTCTCAGCAGTGTCGGAGATTTGAACTATACGGGGTCAGCGTAAAATTGTCATAACAGAGTTTTTTAATGCAATACTTCAATGGGTGCTTTGCTGAGGCCAAACTGGTTCCTGTTAAGTGAGTCATTGCAAAAGTATTCAACAAGCATAGCACAGCAAGAACAGTGTGCTCTTGGGGCAGTTCATAGATTTTATGACACAATCTAGGCTAACTCTTGCAATGCTTGGCTACCTGCAGATCGATCACCAAAGAGGTCACCACGCCAGTCACCAAGGTCTCGACGACTCAAAAGGGGCACTGGATCTGGAGAGGAGTAGTGAGGTGACAAAAATGACTGTTGGCACTGACACTCGTGCTAAGCACCACATCGCATCGCAGACCTCTGTCATATCGTCACATCATCTGCCACAGGGATATCCGCGGTTAGCTGAAAGAAGTCGTTTCCAGTCATTCTTGTGGTAATGGTGCTTGGTCAATTAATTTTTCGAGCTGTTTGAATTTCGTTGCATTAAGAATAGAATTTTTGGTCATGGCACTGACTGGACGGCAAGGTGGCAGGGGACGGAAGCTGCGGTGGGCTGTGATAAACCTCTATAATAAAACTTTTTTTTACTTATGTTTTCTTGTGTATGCATGGTTTTTTTCATGTGCTTTCATAAGAGCAGTGTACACATTCATTAGCTGCAGGTTTCATTTTACTGAAGTTATGTGAGCCAACAGTTTCGGTTCTGATATTTTTCTCTACACAAGCTTAATGAAGAAGTATGTATTACAGTCCTTGACTGCAGTACTACATTTAGAGTTTGTGTGTGTCAAGTTTCATGTGACAATAAAGGACCTTTTATCAACTTTATAAATATGAGTAAGCTTAGAATGTGCATACTCGACATCCTATTTTCTAGTCTTTCTTGCCACAGTTTTAAGTTTCATTAGCCTTGATATACCAAGAGGTACTTACGGAAAAGTGGAAAAGGTAGTATAATATGAGAGAGCGACCCACACCTTAAGGAGCTTCGCCCATAAAAATTCTGGGTCCGAGAGTGGATCGAATCCAGGTCATTTGCGTGGCAATCAGATGTTCTACTACACAGCCACGCATCTGCTTGTGAATACAGTGACCTTTATGCATGCTTTACAATACAACATGAAATATTCATTTCATGTAATAATTATCAGACGCGAAATGCAACGCCTCAGTACTGTATTGCAGGCCATCAACTGCATTATAATTCTGCCGCTTGGGACTAGGAAGCGGTTCATATAACCTGTCTTTATGGTCCAAGGAGGAAGACCCTGTTCTGTAAAGAAAGCACTATACTGCCTATTTTGGGGATCAGTACAGCAGTATTACAAAAACAAATGACAAGGAGTTGTATGACGTGCATTATTCGCTGCCGAAAAGCCCTAGCTGGAACTTGACGCTGACCTGCTACGCAGTGAAGGTGAAGCAAAGGGAGGATTTGTACTACCTTGTGGTTGTTCACTTGGCAATTTCTTTTCTCCCTTAACACAAAATCTACTCTTTTGAAACTTGCTGCTTATTTTCCTGACAAATTATACTTTGCAACGATATAAAAGCCGTATTTTTACTTTGACCGCTACATTGCGAAAATTAAGCTGCAATGTGAGTCAAAAAACTGTTTTTTCCAACTTTATTTACTATAATAAATAAAGTTGCAATAAGCAATAATATTTTGGAAATATTCTTTATTCAAAGGTTGCCCCACATTGCCCAAAGGC